CCGAAATTAGCTCTAATACATTGGCTTGAGGCTGTAAGCTCATATTAAGATTAATTTTACCGAGTATTTAGCTAATTTTTTTTTCGATTTTAACACTGTTAAATTAAGTGTACAAATGAATTGAGTCAAGTTGACAACATTAGGAATTCCTATTTTTTTTCTTAGTAAGGTTTCACATGCAGTACCAAAAATTATAAAAATGAAGGATCCTTACCTTCTGCTTGTGTCGTACAGATTGATCCTCGCCATCGGTATGGACAAAATCTGCACTTGTACTATGATGTCTGGTTTAATAGTGGGAGCTTTCAGCCTTTCTTCTACTGGTGAAATTCCTCCAGAACCCAAGTTTTCTTATTTTTTAACATTTTTTAGGATTATTTTGCAATTTTTGATGCTCTGTCCGTAACGAAGGTTGGATGTTGGTGATGGCAAAGAAGTAAACGTTGACAAGTGCCCAAGAACTGATCTGCAGTCTCAATGCATCAAATACCTTGGACCAGTGAGCATCAATACATTTAATCACTCTTCCCAGATACTGGGAACATGTGTCACATTGCCTAGTCTTTTATATGCCATCAATTTAAAAAATGCAATTAACGCCGATATGACATAAAAAAGTGGCGATATCATTGCCTGCCAACAAAACTTATTAATGTATCGATATATTTTTGACAATATCCATACATGCCTAAAGAACAACCTTCCTGCATAAAGATCTCCATAGCAGGCCATCTGATTATATTTAACTTTCAATTTTTTTTTTCTAAATTGATCTTGATTAATGATGTTTGTTTTCTCCGTATATTGCTCTCACAGAAAGAGAGGGATGCTTATGAAGTGATTGTGGAGAGTGGGAAGCTTGTGTACAGACAAAGTGGGAAACTTGTGAATACTCGTGAGGGTTCTAAGTGGATCTTTGTCCTCAGCACATCAAGGAATATGTATGTTGGGGAGAAGAAGAAAGGCTTTTTCCAGCACTCTACTTTTCTTGCTGGAGGGGCCACCATTGCAGCAGGGAGAATTGTAGCCTCTAATGGGTTTCCTGAGGTTAATTACTTGCTTAATTGCTAATGAACTATTTCCTTAAACACACAATATATATAACATTACAAATTACATAATTATTTTTTTCCTCATAATTTATGAACCTTAATTTGATCTTCATAATGTTCAGGCTGTATGGCCTTACAGCGGTCATTACTGCCCGACAAAAGAGAATTTTATGGAATTCATCAGCTTTTTAGAGGAGCATCAGGTGGACTTGGCTGATGTCAAAGTAAATTATTCTTAAGCCTGAACCCTGATCTCATATCATATGTATCGCATATAGAGGCCTAAACTTGGTGTTTAAGCTGCTAATTAAGAGGGAATTTTCGTACTACTCTCATTAAGCGTATTTCTTTTTCTAATTGTTCTATGCAGACATACCCTATCGATGACGATGTTCCACCATCATATGCTACCAAGAATGATCACGTGAAGTCAAAGTCTATATCAAGCACCCTTGAAGATATCCCCATCTGCTAATGTGTTTTACATTATTAGTGTATGTACTCAAATGTTTTACATGTATATAATAATTAATCTACTTAGCTAGACATAATTAAGTTAGCTAAGTTCCTATATATATTTGACATGTAATCTGTGTATCTCACATATTCCACTATCGTATTACCACCCTAAGCCTAAAGCCTATAGATTATAGTTTTCCCTTTTGACATTAAATTCAATCGAATATAAATAATTCATCTCTTTCTGTAATTGTTATTCTGACCCTGGATCATAAGTCATATCATTACAGAAATTTGATTAATCCCCATGGATTCGGGTGTGGCTATTGATGCCAGTAGCCACTGAGGATAGACCACGGATTGACATGCGCAAACCTTAAAGCACACTATCTCGAACTCACACGTAAATTTGAGAGAGACACCTCAAAGATTGTGGGTTAAATTAATACACACACACACACACACACACAAAAGGTACAACGTAGATATATTGACGCACCATGATATGTGAAAACAACAACTCTTAAATACGCACTTTGAAATTCACAAGCACTAACCCTAAAAGACGCACTTTGGAACAAGTAAAGTTGGGAGAAACTTCAAAGTTGTTGACTAATGTGATATGTAATATTTGGTAAAATGATAAAATGCTTATATATTGTTGAAGCATCATGATATGTGAAAAGATACGCTTGTTAACACAATATAAAAAGTAAAGTTGAGAGAAACTTCAAAATTTTATTTAATAATATGAAAATAACATGAAAAGAAAATTTAAAGCCACTTTATAACAAAAAAAATCTACTAGAATTAACTGAAAGGAATATTACATTATAACATAAATGGGAATTGGCTCCTCTTCGAGGCAAATCCTTAGGATCCTCCTAAGCCAATAACATGGATTATTAGATTTTGATTCAACGGTTACAAATAGGGGGATCTCTATAAAGTTATAATAATTGTAGCTATTAAATTAAAATCCAACGGTCCGTATTAATGAATCAGGAAGATTCCGAGGTTTTACCTCTCGGAGAGGATCCAATTCCACATAAATATACTGTAATTAACTGAAAGCTGGAAAAGTATCAATATTTTATTACAACAGAATATCCAGGAAGGGCCACACCCAAGTGGTCATCAGACCCTCTACAACAATGCATGCATAAGTTCAGAGCATAAGTAAAGTAGTGCAACGAAAGCGTAAGTGCTAAATATATATCATCCATTCAAATCTCCATACGTTTTCGGAAGAGATGTAGAGCTGTCAAATAATTCCTCGATGTTGACGTACTCACTGCTATAAGGTTTTGCAGGGGCGTAAAATAGAAACATGGGAGTGGACAAAAAGAAAGATTTCTAAAACCCTTTTTTCTTTATGATAATAACTCACACTTCTTTGTAAAGCCCCATTTATGTAAAACCATACTAGTATGTATATACATAATCCAATAAAATCATCATATTTGCTCAAAGTCTCATAAATCAACATGAATAATCTCAAAATTCGTCAAACCCAACTAGACAAGAAGGGAATCCAAGAGGAGTACTTGTCAAATGGGAAGACACCTTGGTGTTCCGACCTTCAACTAATCTTGTGGTAGTTAATTAATTTCTATAAAAGCATGGTTACAAAGATCCAGAGTAGTAAAGCCTATATATGCCCATACTCCATCGAAGGTGGTCGGCCAGCTACGTAGGTATATGTACAGTTTTTGCTTGTTGTCTTTGCACTTTTCTGGCTTCAAATCAAGGCCTGCCTAATACATGGGGCAAAGTCATGTACACGCAGTTTTCTTGCATGAACTAAGAAACCCATGTATTTTTCTGTATACACGAGACATTCTTTCTAATCATTAAACCTATTACAGGCTTCCACATAAACTAATTTTAGACACCTACTCAGCATGTTTAGGGTGCTTATCCAAATTGAATTGGTTCAAAACTAACTAATTTGGTTGTAGTAGTTCTAGTAACAAAGATCCTAAGGTACCGTTTGGTACGTGGGACGGGACGGAACAGAGTGGGACAAGGCGTTCCGTCCCACGTTTGGTGCGCCTAAAACAGGTGGAACGAGCTGTTTCATGGGACGAGTTTTGGATGAATTTTTGTTCCACCTCACCCCCCTGGAACGACTCGTTCCACATCCGTGGAACACAAAATTATAACCTCTCCGTCTCCTTCTTCTTCCTCCTTGTTTCCATCTGAGGGCATCTTTGCTCCTGCTCCATTCCGTTCCGTTCTGTCCTGTCCCGTCCCGTCCCGTCCCGCTGCATACCAAACAATACCTAACTGAACCATAGGATAACAACCATTTGACTAACCTAGCTATTAGTTCCACAAAATATGCGACAAAGCTAAATCAAAATTAACATCTTCAGTATCCTTGACAAGTACGTCGCAAAATCTTATGATTGACCAAACCAACACAACCCCCACCCCCCCCCCCCTCCCTCCCTCCCTCCCTCCCCCCGGGGCGCCGGCGCAAACGTTAAATTGCCCCAATATTTTTGTTCCAAATAAAGTAATTAAGCACCAAAAGTATATAGGCAAGTTTTTTTTAGTTAATTAATTAATTAATTAATTTGTTTTTTTTTTTTTAATGAACGATATTATCCACACTAAAAGGAAGAGGAGGTGGGCTTAGCCTCCCAATGGGCTAGAAATAATGTTAATGTGGTTCAAATTCGTCTTTAGCGATAATCGAACCTAAGGCCTCTTACTTACAAATAAAGAGGAATACCACAAGCCTGTAATAGACAAGAATATTGGCAACTTTGAACACTCTAAGTTTAAGAAATCAAACCCCTCGTGGGGTTGTCAAAATCCGGTCATGTTTTCCTATTTTCATTCAAAAAACCCCATTTCATGGGACCAGATTTCAAACTCTTTTTCTATTTTCTGCAATTTTTGTCCAATACGTGTTGGAAGGTACCATTATCAACTCTGAACTTTCAACCCTAGCTGCTTCGTTTTCATTGTCCTTCACGGTATATAAAGGAGAGAATAACTCTTAACTTTCAACCCGAGCTACTTCGTTTTCATTGTCCTTCACGGTATTATTACTTGAATTAATCCAGGTGAGCAACCTCAACCTTCATCTTAATTTTTCTAAATTTTTTGGGCTCCTTTGTATGATTAACATGTTAATTTGATGATTTGTTTATATGTTTCAGTTAATTATCTACTCCCTTGAAAAACCCAAGTTTAGTTTTTCCTTGAATTTGATCATGGTTAAAGTGAAAATGTGGATTAATTGAATGAAAAGAGAACATTACTTTGTCTGATTTTATAACTATGGAAGTAGACTGTAGAAATTCTTCATGGAATCCAACCTGCATTTTCTTCTCTGGATTACCAAAACTTTAAATAGTTTCTACGAATATAGTTGAGCAGGTTCATTTGTCGTTTGATGCACTATTGCTTTAAGATCAATCGGAATATCTTTTCTCTGAGGCACATTCCTTTTGTTTTGACAGAAATTTTACAGAAATGGTCACACTGACATCCATCAGTTTCCAGTCCAGGAAACAGACGGCGACATCTGGAGCAGTTAGCGAGGAGAAAACTGATATGGGCAGCACCAGTGAATCTAATGAGGTAGATAAAATGACTATTGAAGAATCCTTGAGCTCCAAGAAAAGAAAAGCAGGCCAGATAAAACTAGGGACAAATGTTTCTTTCAAGAAAATAGAAGGAAAAGTGGATAGTTTTATTGAGGAGGTCAATCCAACAATTTCCTTACCCAAGCCAGAAGATTTCCTTTCTCCATGCCATCTTAGTGAGCTTCAGGCAGCTGCAATCAAAGTGCAGAAATTTTACAAGAGCTACCGGACTAGGCGGAACCTTGCAGATTGCGCTGTTGTAGTCGAGGAGCTATGGTCTGTTCTGTCATTATCTCCTATTTTACGGCTCATAGTTGTTACGTACAGTCACATATGCTTATTCCGTTTGTGTTTAATTGTTGTAGGTGGAAGGCATTGGACTTTGCTGCTCTTAAACGCAGCTCTGTGTCATTCTTTAACTCTGATAAATCAGAAACTGCTGTCTCCAGATGGTTGCGTGCTAGGACTCGGGCTGCCAAGGTGATTTTTTGACACGTTGCGGTTTATGTTACTTATCTTTTACATATAATGAAGATAACCGAATTTTTTAACATATTTTTTTCAACATTTGGACCTAATTGAGTCTTTTCGAAGACAAAATCCTTGCGCTTCTTTGATTTGTACTGGAACATGACCAGAATGGTTGACTAGTTCAAAATTATTATATAAATTCTTGTAAAGAGATGCTTTCGGTAGACATTGATTGTTGACCAAGTGTCATTGTTGATTCCAGGTTGGAAAGGGTTTGTCAAAGGATGAGAAGGCCCAGGAATTAGCTCTAAGACATTGGCTTGAAGCGGTAAGCTCGCATTAAGAATATTCTTACTAATTGTTCAGGCAATTAATCTATTTAGCTTACCTTCTGCTTGTGATGTACAGATTGATCCACGAATTTCTTACTAATTGTTCAGGCAATTAATCCATTTGGCTAATCTTCTGCTTGTGATGTACAGATTGATCCACGCCATCGTTACGGGCACAATCTGCACTTGTATTATGATGTCTGGTTTAACAGTGGGAGCTCTCAACCTTTCTTCTATTGGTAGAATTCATACATTACCATTTTTATTCGTATTTTAGAGATTTATATGGCTTTTCTAATACATGGATGCATATGTTGTATTTGAAATTAATGAAGGTTGGATGTTGGAGATGGAAAAGAAGAAAATCTTGAGAAGTGTGCTAGAGCTGATTTGCAGCGTCAGTGCATCAAATACCTTGGACCGGTAAGTATTAAAGTCTCTAATTCTTTTTCCACATAGGTTACGTATGGATCCTTCGTCGATATTTAAATTTTTGAAACAAAAAATTCGAATTTTAATTCTGAGGGAATGAAATGTAGGGTTTTGAAGTTTTGATGTATGGTAAATGACGTAACATCTGTAAATTGCTCTTGCAGAAAGAGAGGGAAGCTTATGAAGTGATTGTACACGGCGGGAAGCTTGTGTACAGACAAAGTAGGAACCTTGTGAATACTGCTGTGGGTTCTAAATGGATCTTTGTCCTCGACGCATCGAGGAACATGTACGTAGGGGAGAAGAAGAAAGGCTTTTTCCAACACTCCAGTTTTCTAGCAGGAGGTGCCACCATTGCAGCCGGGAGATTGGTTGCATGCAAGGGGGTTCTCGAGGTTCGTTTCTTATACTAATACATTCTAATATGTACATTATATTTCTTGATATGCAAGTTATCCTTATAATTTTTGAACCTTTGATCTTGATATTGGTCAGGCTGTATGGAGCTATAGCGGTCATTACCGCCCAACAGAAGAGAGTTTTTTGGAATTCATTAGCTTCCTAGAGGAGCATAAGGTGGACATGACAAATGTGAAGGTAAATTATTCTCTAGTCTTCAAATTTGCTTCCACAACTTGCCTAAAATTGGTTCACATATATGATTCTGAAACATGTAATATTTTTATTATGATTCTCTTTCTCAATATCTACAATTCCATGAACTTATTTTCTACAGAAATGTCCCATAGATGATGATATTCCACCTTCGAAACCTACGAAAAAAGTGATTAATACTGAGTCTACGGAAACTAAAGGCTCCACTTCCACTAATATACCAAACGGTCAAAATGAACATAATGTGGATGGCGTCGGAACTAACGTTGAAGAAGCACCAGAATTCGACTCAGGCAGGTCTTTGTTTTGCAAATGGACTACCGGAGCCGGTCCTCGAATCGGATGTGTACGAGACTACCCAGCGGAGCTCCAAATTCAGGCACTTGAGCAGGTCAATCTATCACCAAGAGTCATACCAGAAAGTTCTGCCAGCAATGCTCCAATTCCTTCACCAAGACCAAGTCCAAAAATCCACTTGTCACCTAGGCTTGCATGCATGGGACTGCCAAATCATCACTAGATTAATATATAATAATTTAATTAGCATTTGTTGAATTAATTGAGAATTGTAAGTGCTTTGATTTCATCATTGTATTCATCATGGAATAATCATTGGAAGAAATTATCTTGATATTCTTTCCATGTGTTGAGCTTGAATCTTCTCTTTGTGATGAGTTTGACCATACCTACTCCACACATATATCACACATGCTTGGAAAAATTTGGACATACTTTCCTAACCATTGACCACAAATACCAATTTTGCTAATTTATTTTTAAATTAAAAATGCTAAGATCCTTGTTATCGGTTAGTGTTTGAATAAGACAACTTTTCGCTATCAACATAAAAGAGTGATTAGAACTCGAGATCTCTTTCAACATTGAGAAAAGTTGTGCTTCTATTGAGTTTTTGTCAAAATAAAATAAGTTTTGGATTACGTAAGTAGATGACTTGTATCAAATTAAACGTTTCTGAAATAATTTAACAATTCAATTCCATTTTCTTTAAGTTTGAAACAATCCAACATTTTTATTCAGTCTACAATTTTGTTTGAATATTGAACCGAATTGAAGTGTGTCCACCTCTATTTATAGTCCAACTTGTTTTTAACTAAAGTGAATGAATATATTGAATAAAACTATTACCGTTTCGCCTCAAATATAAAAAGTTTAATACCATTGTAAGTTTGAAAATAAACGTCTAAATGTCCTTCGAAAGTGCCACTCAGTACTACGGTCTGGTGGTATTTCTCTTCACTTGGAAGTGAGAGGTCATAGGTTCGAATCTCGTGAATGGCAAATTTGATACCAAATTAGGTTGCCCATTATGTAGCTTAGCCGAACTTTCTCTCCTTAATGTAAAAATATATCGATGTACTAAAAAAAAAAAAAAACCTTCAAAAGCAAGTAAATTGAGTTCGATCCAAGAACAAGAAAAACAAAGGGTAAATTCTGAACTAAGAGGGCTACAAAAGTGAGACCCGAATCAAGGTCCGTGCCCGATTAGCTCTCTCTTTAATGGACTTTATACCGGGCCCCCACCTCTCCAACAAAGGTTTTGAAATCCAAAATTTGGATGCTTGTGGTTAACGTCGTCGTTTTATAAAGCAGCCCAGCTGCGTAAAACCCTCGATTGCAATTTGTATCCGTTACGCTTTAATTGACCTTTTTACGAATTCGAAATTCAAATTTGGCAATAAGATCCAACTAACATTCTTTTTTTTTCCTTGAAGCAAGGCGCCTTAACAAGTAATTTAACATACAGATCTCGCTTGAATTCCAAAAACCCCAATCCCCAAAAATACCCAGACAACAACTCTCTGCACCGAGCTCGGTTTCCATTTCTGTTTCCAAGAAACGCTTCCAGAAAAAGCACTTTCCACAACAGATAGAGAGCAGTTCAAGGTTGATTCAGCTTTTACAGCTTGATTTCTCAAATGGCTACTCCTGGAAAATGGCTGAAATCACTTGTCAATCCCAAAAAGGCCACCAATTTTGACCAAGTAATCACAAAAATTCACCATCCTCTGTTTTCTGTTTTTTTATTCTCTCCATATTTTCCTCTGCTCCTTTGTTTTTACTCTGTTTTTGTTGTTTTAGGAGAAGATGGGGGACAAGGGGAAGAAGAAGTGGAAGCTATGGAGGAGTTCATCGGAAGGGTTTGGGTCACCGGCCAAAGGTGGGGTGAAGAGGAGCCAAGTGACGGCTTCAAAGACCACGTCGAATTCGGTTGATGATGCACTGGCTGCTGCAATGGCTGCTCTGGTCAGAACTCAGCCTAAAGATTTTAAGGTCCTCAAGCAAGAGTGGGCTGCTATTCGTATCCAAGCCGTGTTTCGCGGATTCTTGGTATGTCTGTAACTTACAGAATTCAGTACAATTTCTGTTGGAAATTTTGTAATCTTTCCATTAGGTTTCTGTCAGCAGTTGTTAATTTTATGGATAGATTGATCTCGGAGTGGAAAATCATTTGTTTTTAGTTAGTTTGAAACAAAAGTTCTGAACTGGGTAATGCTAAGATACAAACGTTTTGGTCTCTTTGGAATTCAATTAGACCTGTAAATTAGTATACTTTGTTTTTGGTTTTTCCTGGCCCTTTTTTGGGGTGTTGTTGAATCCCTTGATTATCTTCATCACCATTTATCATGCTCGTTACCATCTTTCATGGTCGACTATTATTTCCTATCAAGCGTGCCTTTTCTAGTTTCATGTATCTTATATAAATTAAATATTGAACTTTGCTCCTATGAATAATAGTCTGATTTGCATCCGAATTACCATGTATGAGTACGAATTTAAGGTTGTTTACGCTGATTTGCGCTGGTTCGATGTCAAGTGAAAGTGATAAAGAATAAATTTGAAACAGTTTAGTAGATTAAAAGAAATGAATACTAGATTTGATCAGCTTCCTGCAGCCTGAAATGCTTGAATAGATAATTTCAGAATGCTGGAATTAATCGGAGGTTACAGATATCACTGGCTCGAGAAGTTGAATCATAGCTTCCCAATGTATTAACGAACTGCTTCTTAGATTATTTACGTAATGAATCAGACAATGTGAACTTTGAAGCATATAAGCTAATCTGCAAAATAATGTTGTCTTATTATACTTGATTGTATTTTATGATAGTTAATATGATAACTGATAAGTGCAGGCAAGGCAGGCTTTGAGGGCCTTGAGAGCAGTGGTAAGGCTTCAGGCTTTATTTCGTGGTCGGCAGGTTAGGAAGCAAGCCGCGGTTACACTGAGGTGCATGCAGGCACTTGTTCGAGTTCAGGCTCGAGTGCGAGCACAAAGAAACTCTGAAGAAGGGCAATCTGTGAATGACACATTGGATGAACAATTCTACCAAGCTGATCCCATTAAGCAGGCTGAGGTACTTATCGAAATTTCTAGCGTTCTGCATGTTATCTTGAAGTTTTTATAATGTTCATAAAGATATTGATGGTATTAACTCTATCATCAATATTGTTTACAACAATTTTCAGCAAGGATGGTGTGATAGTCCCGGAACGGTGAGTGAAGTTAGAGCAAAGCTTCAAATGAGACAAAGAGGAAACATAAAGAGGGAGAGGGCAATTGCATACTCCTCTCAACAGGTAATGAATTCTTTTTCGTTCTTTCCTGTAAAAGAGTTAACAGAAAGAAAAAACCATGAGCTAGTTGAATGGAGCCTTTGATTATATTTCTTTCTCAGAGACCAAGGTCTGCCAGTCCATATAGTAGGGGAAACAAGACACCAAAGGATGTTAGACATCAGAAGGTAGCCGAAAAGACTTCAGGATGGAACTGGATAGAAAAGTGGATGGCAGCCAAACCATGGGAAAACAGACTGATGGAAGAGATTCATAGCGTGCCATCGGAAGTGACTCATCCTTATTCTAGGAAAAGTGATGGCAGTGTTGGCTTTTGTCCATTTTCTTCTGAACAGAACTTGGTGAAAGTAACGAGGAACAATGTCACAACTAGGGTTTCTGCTAGGCCTCGTACAGCAAGTCCAATTACTCGCTCATCTTCTGCCCCGAGTTCTGATTTTTTACAGGATGAGACCTCAGGATCACATTCTTCTACGTCTTCAACTTTAGCGTCAGGAAACTACCTAAGGTAGAAAATGTAGAGGAAGCTAATGTAGGGAAACCCGGTTACATGAATCTCACACAATCAACTAAGGCCAAGCAGAGAACTTCCAATTGTTTTAATATGCAGAGGCATTCCATGGAGGAGTATCATTATCATAACAAGTCAATGGGATTGTTTAACGATGATACAAGGAGCAATGGCGATTCTGATCTGTATCCTCCAGTATTCGCTGGTAGAGCTGAACGAGTAAGATATCGATGAGATCAAGATCTACTAAGAACTGCCTTCTTGCACTAGGTGGACTTTTCCATGATTTCAACAGCTTGTTGCCCTTGTTTTAACTTCCATATTGTTCAAATTACACATAGATTTGCCTCAAAGGATTACTGATACAGAACTAAGATAAGTTTCTGGACAATTGATTGTGATTATACTGGGAAGTAATGTTTTTTGAGTGAGTGATTATATGATTTAAAAAAATTGTGAAACTTCATTTCTGATTTGGTGGTGTCATTAGTATGTTACTGAATTGCATCTATGATTTTTCACAAGACTTATTCTGCTATCTGTAATTTGTAGTTTCAGGGAAAGTGTGATTTGGTTACTACAAAGTTCAGTTGTTTGTGGCCTGAAATTGCTCAAATTGTCACAAGCATGACATTTTCAAAGTGTTTACATGTAGAGTGATTGAGTAGTGATATAAAGATCTCTTGGGTTCTCATGCCAAATGTGAGCCCCTTGTTTTTGTGATGTGGAATTTCGATGAGTTCTGGCTGGAAATTGCGCAGTAAGTTTAATGCTTGGCAAGGACTCCACTTGCAAGATACACAAGCCGTAGATAGAATACAACTAAGAGGGAGAGAGACTATATGAAACGGAGACGTCAAGACGGTGGTGTCCCAAACCTATCAAACTTGACTTTGACTGTTTTGCAACGCCCAATAGGAATTTTATCTACCTTTTTTACTATTTCACTTTCCCTTTTCTTTTCTTTTCTTTTCTTTTCTTTTCTTTAAAAACACCTTGAATTATAAAGCTAAACTTTAGATATGATAACCCCGTTAATCATGTTGAGAAATGATTAATCTCTTTAACTCCACTTAAGAGAACAAGAACAAATCACGCACATATGTGGGCTTCACCATTAAGGCCAAAAATTAGAATCTGAACTCCTTTTAGGGAGGATGAATTATGCACATTTGGGTTATACCCTTTAAGTTCAAAAAGAAAAAAAAAAAAAGAGGTATCACCATTATTAGTAATAACCAAATGGTCCTTGCATTCGCATTCATTCACATCTAGTTAAGTGGACCACATGTATTATTATCAATCTTCCTTGCCTAAAAGTGATTTGAAGATGTAACCCATGATCATCGAGGTGAAAAAGAACAGAAGAAAAACTTTTGTGTGGGCCTTAAGTGCAATCCAATTAAGAGATGACAATGTTTAAGCAGACATGTTTTATTTTGCACATGATATGTTGTCAGAAATAGTTTCAGGAAAATTTCCTTGAAGCGTAGAGGATTAATAAATAAAAAAGTAAAAGTGACATGAAATAAATGTTTTCAAGAGATTGTTTGTCATCCTAACACACAAGAGGGGAGTCAGAAATTTTGTCAGAGTTGAGCTAAATTTGTTTTGTATTTTCGTCGTTTTAGAGTGACTTCCTTAGTCTTAGAAGATGTTAGGTAGTGTAGACCAATTGTTAGTTTAGTGGGGTGGGCTTTAATTTGCTAAGTGGATGAACTTCATAGGAATATACAACAACAACAACAAAGTCTTATCTTACTAAGTGAGGTCGGTTGTATGAATCCTAGAATGTCATTGCGCTTGGTTCTGTGCCACGTCTTCCATTAGATCCAAGTACTCCAAGTCTTTTCTAGAGTCTCTTCCAAAGTTTTCTTAGGTCTTCCTCTACTCATTCGGCCATGAATCTTTGTCTCTTTGTTACATCTTCTAACCAGAGCATCCGTAGGCCTTTGTTTCACATGTCCAAACCACTAATCGATTTTCTCTCATCTTTCCCTCATTTTCGGGTACTCTTATTTTACCTTGGATATCCTCATTCCTAATCTTATCTTTTTTCGTATGCCCACACATCCAACGAAGCATTCTCATCTCCGCTACACTCATTTTATGTACGTGTTGATGCTTCATCTGCCCAACATTTTGTGCCATAAAGCATTGCTGGCCTTATTGTTATCCTATAAAATTTTCTCTTAAGCTTTAATGGCATACGACGGCCGCACAACACATTCGATGCACCCTTTCACTTCATCCATCCAGTTTATATTCTATGGTTGAGGTCTCCATCCGATTGTCCGTTCTTTTGCAAGATTGATCCTAGGTAGCGAAATCGTCACTCTTCCATAATTCCTCATCTCCAATCCTCACCCCTAACTCAATTGAGTATCCGTTTGCACTGAACTTGCACTCCATATACTTTGTCTTTGACCGACTTAGGCGAAGACCTTTAGATTCCAACAGTTCTCTCCAAAGGTTAAGCTTTGCATTTACTCATTCCTGAGTTTCATCTATCAACATTATATCATCCGCGAAAAGCATACACCAAGGAATATCATCTCGAATATGTCTCGTTAACTTCATCCATTACCAATGAACTTCATAGGAATATAGCACCAAAAATTTCATTTACCATAACATTGCACAGGACTAGAGGCAACCCTCGCCCAAGAATCGATGGCTCCCTTGTTAATACATACACTGGCGAAGGCACCAAGGGACCATGGTGGTCCTGGGCCCATCCTGACCTTTAAAAGATATTATATCTATATCTATATACATTTTGCGTAAAACACCTATTTCTCTTCCTCTAAAACCCTCCTATTGTTACCACCGGAACGTATTGTGCCAAGGAAAGTTCTACTTAGTACTATGGTCTAGTGGTATTCCTCTTCACTTGTAAGTGAGAGGGTCTTAGGTTCAATTCTCACAAAATGCAAATTTGGACATATTATTGCTAACCCATTGTGAGGCTAAGTCCATCCCTTCTCTCTTATTATAAATAATATCATTTGTTCAAAAACAAAAACAAAAAAAACCCTCCTATTGTTCAACACTTCAAATAAATTCAATCATTATCTCTTGTCATGGTCCTTTATCACAAATTAAACCTTTAAAACTGAACTCATCATTAACTTTTATTTATAAAAGTAAAAAATCTTGCCTCACACTCTAATCTTATCTCTTTCACGGTGCAACCCTGAGATTCGAGAGTTATTCCCTATCTTATTCTCAAAATTTCATTTTTTTTTGTTATTTCAAATTCCAAATCCATTCAACTTATCGGAAGAAAAAAATTACAAATCCATTCAATAAGCAACAATAACACTCTCTATTATTGTCCATAATTTTTATTCGTTTCTACTTTATTCTACCTCTTACTTGAGTGTTATGATTTGTAAATTTTTTATAGAGCTCCCTATTGATTCTAATAAAATTCTTTCAACAGTATAAGCACGAGGTTGTCATCCAATGGTTTCAAAATATGAAAACTCGTCAAGGATAAATATGATTATTTTGTATACATATTATAATATTTTGATTAGTAATTTTATAAATACTACCCTTTTTTTTTACATTATGAAAGGTCCCTCCTCACAAGAAATTCTAGCTCCGCCACTGAACACACACCAGTTGAGCAGCAAAATTATGCTGATCTAAGGATTCCCACAACGTTCGTATTCATATACATATTCCTATGGCAGAATTTCCCCCTTTTTCGACTAGACCACACTAGGATGAAATGGTTCATAGGTCAATTTCACAAGCAAGGACACATTTTTCAGACGTTTTTAGACAGCATCTCTCCAATCCGTTAAAGGTTGACTTCTCTCTCCCTGCACTGTGATTGGTCCACAACCTGCTCACGTGGGAGGTACGTGCTAACGAATGAAAGAAATCAGGATTCCGCCAAAAGCTATGAAATTTTGTAGATATCATTTGTTGGAGATTCTCTGCAAGTAAAACTGGAAAGAAAAAATCATGGCGACATTTCTTCGATTGTGAGAAAATACGTGAACTTTCCTTCATGGGGTGTGGGGGTTGGTGGTTCGCCATTAAGAGAAGCAACTCAATGTGGTGGGTCACTTAATGCATGCATCTTTAATTTTCTGTGTCATTTTCTCTGCGGTACTTCACTGTACCATATGATTCCATATCATATGAGTCACTGTGATTGATTCCCGATGAACTCGACAACACTTTCATTTGTGAATTTTGACCTTTTTGTTTCAATCAAGTAAAAAGCTAATAATGTATTTGCTTTAGATTCTATAATTTACAAATTTTCAACTCCTTTATGCAAGTCATAAAAAGACTACAACTTGTTTCCAAAAAAAAAAAAAACAAAAAAAAAAAGACTACAACTAGGTCGGTATTTAATTAATCCAATATTTGGCAGTATATGTTTTGGTGGCTACAATTAGAGACATATAGTTTAATGACATTTTTTTAGGTCCAAAATCATCTTACCAACCCCTTAGCTGGGATCCTTAGGCCAATTACTTGTGGTTCCAAATTTTCTTTAAAACTTCTGCTTTTGGTACTGTTGCCCTTTATCATATACAACTTAGATTGGATGAAAAATTGAAAATGATATATAGTTACTGGAGTTTTCTACTTAACCAAGCAGTGTGTATCAAACTACTCTGACATATATATACTTGATTCGTGGCTTTTATTTCAGTCTTTCACCGAGGGTACAATTATAGTTTAGAGTTTAGGTTGCGGTTAACCACATTTTTAAAACCGAAGACAAGCAATCGAGATGGCGTCATTGATATGGTCAATGTCATGATATTGTGAACTCACAGTTGTTGATTTGTTGTCCATATTCTATCCACTAATGCAACTAACCGGAACACACACACACACACAAGATAATAGAGAGTTTTAACGAAAAGCCCACAGTACTGTTCACTTTAACAAAAAAAATCACATTTTTTACACTAAAAAGTCAATCCTGGTACTATTCACTTTACCCTTTATTTTGTCCTTATCGTTAAAACTCAAAGTTTTCAAACTCTTTTCGTGAATTTTCCTAAGATAAAATGCTATTTAGTGATTTCAGCATTGATTACTGCTGACCTTTCCCTCCTATTCAAGAGAAATGGTATCAAGAAAATAGAAATAAGGAAAAGATTATTTTGTTGCACTTTGTAATACTAATCATCCTCGCAAAAGTAAAGCAAAGGAACAACGAGATAAACATGGACAATATTAACAACCTAAACTTTGATTGAGTTCCTCGAACAATATTTTAATTGAAAATGACCAATACCATGATCAATATCCTGTTGATAGAAGACAACAAATGACCTGGTCATTTTTTCATGTTCTTCATCATTTGATTCTCCAATAAGTAGGGAAAAAAACAAAAACCTCTTGCAGCTTGTCCTTTGATGGCTCAACAAATAAAGCAAAAGTCTGTTGAAATGAATTGTTGCATGTGAAACAAAAATTCAAGAATCTCATTTGG